TATATGCATTCCTCTTCTCCCCATTCATGCTACATACCATGCCCATCTCATCCTCCTTGACTTGATCATTCTAATTATACTTGGAGAACAGTACAAGTTATGAAGCTACTCATTATGCAGTTTTCTCCAACCTCCCGTCACTTCATCTCTCTTCGGTCCAAATATTCTCAACACCCTGTTCTCAAACACCCTCAGTCCATGTTCCTCCGTTAATGTCAGAGACCAAGTTTCACACTCATACGCCCAAAAATTATTTAATATAGAACTTTCTATGCCAGAGCCGGGATAGCTCAGTCGGTATAGCGACTAGCTATGGCCTGGACGACCAAGAGGTTAGAGTTCTATTCCCGGTAGCTTAAAGAATTTTGTCTTCTTCATGTTGTCCAGACCCGCTCCGGGGTCCACCCAACTTCCTATCCAATGGGTAGCGGGGGCTCTTTCTTCTGGGGTAAAGCAGCCGGGGCGTGAAGCTGACCACTCACCTCAAACTAGTGCCGAGGTCAAGAAAATGTGGATCTATACACCCACTCCTCCATACGCCTTCATGGTGCAGTGTTTAATTAGTTAAGCACAGAGACAACTTTACCTTATCTTTACCTCCTGTGCCAGATATAATCAAAATTCTTTCGAGGACTTACACATATGAAATGCGTGCACCTGCAGATAAATATAGCCTCAGCATTATGCGTTCATTTTATATATTTCGCTCAAAGATCACATATAAGATACAGTTTTTAGAAGAAAGCTGTAATGTCTCCGTTGTTACAGCAAATGGTCTACTGACGACCGGGGAAAATGAGTCCCTTTCTCTGACGTGGCAGACTGACTCGCAGGTCCGCGCAGTCTCCTGTCCAAAATACACTGGAGACTTTACACAGGGGTCAATGGGCTGGGGCGTGAAACTGACAACTCACCACCATCTTCTGACAAAATGAACCTATACCATTATTCACCATAAGGCTTCACGAGTTGTAGCGTGATGAAGCACAGAGACAAGTTTAATTTCGTGTTTATATGTGTAGGACCTGCTGAGTATCATTGATTCCTGAGCTCAGATAACATGAGGCACCCGTCATAGTTACTTTTGTTTCTCTCTATGCCCCTTCACGCCCCTCAACCCCTCGTCGCTAGATTCATTTAATTTTAGATAGTGTCTCAGTGGAAATCCGTCAGTTTATTCAGGTCCCATTGTGATGCAAGCTTTCTCTTCCGCCCATAAGAACAATGCTCTGTTCTACTTTTTATACTTAACCGTTCCGCCCTGTGTGATACAGTGCTTCTAAAAATATATGAATCGAATTTTTCTTTATAAATTCATGAGTCACTGACAAACATATTAGGGGGATTGGAGAAATTTTTGTAAGATATAAAGAAGAGAAGAAATAAATTAATTTCTTCCCACCAAATAAATTCCCGAATGAAAAAAGTAACAGAAGAAGTTATGACGATTTATCACTAAGAATACTGTTCTCTGGCATTAATTTGGTTTTCTATTTCACGTTTTGCAAACATTTCCACACACTGTATAAATGTTAGAATAGCTAGAAAGAAGGTCTTCTGGGACGATAAGTTAATTTTCTCTTAACATATTACCAGAAGCCATGAAAAAAGTGCTAAAACCATATATTTTCATTGGGGTGGTAAATATAGCCACAAGAATGGACGTATTTTGTAAGTAATCCGAGGACACATTTTCTCAGCGACTGGTTCTTATATTAAAACTGTACAGAAAAATTTAGAAGTCACTGCTAATAAAACTACTCGTGTGTCAGAACATTCCTAATCCATGATAAGTGATCTCAAATTATCTTATTTTTAATATAAGATTATCCACGGTAAAACCAAACTATGATACCGTCACGTGTCCGGGGTTCCGTGACTTATAACAACGGTTTCTGGATTGGATGATAGGATTTATTACTGTCTCTCATAATTACAATCAATTATAGGGCTATCGTTAACACTTCACAAATCACTAGGACACACTATCCGTTTCTTAGCAAAGGATCTCAATACAGGAACTGTCATTTCAAATCTCTATGTTTGTCTTACCATTTCTTGTTCAATCACCTTGGACTGCCGACCTTCCAGAGTTTGACCCAATTCTCCAATTCTAATTCTCTAATTCCACCAGCTACAAAGAGACCTTCGTTATATAGCCGCGGCACGGACCGCATAGAAAACACCTTCTATTAGAGATGCATGTAAAAAATTGTGTACAGGTGAATCTGAATAAGAAGAGAGAGAGAAATAAGGAAGGGACCATGGAACGCGCAGCAGAAGAGTAGATGAAAGTGAAAAGTCATGAGCTGGCGACACTCTTGTGGGCCAAGAGAACAGGCCTGGCTTGGGTATGCGACCTTGCTGCCTGAAGTCTCTCAGACAACTGGGATGCATGTTAGGGCTCCTCTCCCTAGCACTGGACATGGTGCGGACAACACAGAAAATACTTCTTTTATTGTCAACCCAATGGTTGTATTTGACTTTTCGGATTCCCTGCAGCTCAGGCTGTTAGTCACCGGCTTCCCACTGTGCTAGAGTGGGTTCGATTTCCGGCCACAGAATATGGGATTTGTGATAGATAACATGGCACTGGATTGAATTTTCTTTGAGTACTTCTGTTCTCACTATCAATTCTAATTCTGCCAACTGCTCCACCTTCATTACACACCCTATTATCGAAACTACGTAATATCGATACAGTCAGCCTTGTAAAATATCAAAATTAAAAGCATATTTGAAAAAAATAAAGCTGGTATGACCTCTTCCAAGGGTTTCATCTGAGTCAAACTGTAACCAGCAAATTTGTTCAGTGCTTTATCAGAGTATATACCCTCTTGCAGTCAGTGGATGTCGTCTCCATCTTGCTATATTTCAGAGCGCCAATAGACAATAACTAGATCATGCAATCGATAGTTATCGAACTGACCGAGGATACATAATCGGATGAGGGAACATTGCTGTGAGGGATGTCATGTCATGGAAATCGCAACCCAACTACGCAGAACACGGAATTCGGGTTCGCAGTCTAACTTTCCTTTCATTTCATCCATGTCAAACACATCCTCCTTTTTTTATGGTGAAATAACAGACTTTGGTATAGCATGAAAATTGAATTTATTTGAACAAAAACAAGTCGACGACCGTATGCTTGAGCAATGTGCTGGTTACACCAGGCAGTAATACATACGAGGTCACATACCAGAGAACATAATTTTAATACTTTCAAAAGTTATATATGTATATATATTTTTTCCCCCTTTGCACTACAGCCCCAGAGGGCCTAGGTCTACCTCCATGAACTTCTCCGTTCACTTCAGTTTTTCTAGATCTTACACATTCGGTAGGACTCCTTGGGTGGGTGATCAGCTCGTCGCAAGACCTCTACCTGTACACAAACACAGAAAAACGCACACAAACATCCATGCTCTGAGTGGGATTCGAACCCACGATCCCGGCTTCCGAGCGAGCGAAAACAGTACATGCCTTAGACCGCTCGGCTACCGTGGCCGGCTCAAAAGTTATGTTACATATTCTCATTTTTCGGGGTCTATTTGTTGTATAAAAACTTCCACGAACTGTACTTATTTCTGACTCCACGTGATAGATATCTGTTTATTTATTCACAATAATAAAATATTTGTCAGTGTAATGACAGCTAATACGAAAGTGGATTTAGTCGATAACGCTTTGAATTTACACTTATAAGGTTCCCGGTTCTGATCTCAGTCAGGATATCAAATATTCAGAGAATTTGCATGATTTTCCTCACTCTCTCCAAGCGAATGCCTGGACCTACTTCAAATTAGTCAACGACCGCCATACACTCTGATCTACTGAACCATGGTACATGATCATCAAAACCATGATGACTGAAACATAACCATCACCCGAGGAATACACCAAAAGACAATATTAAATGTTCAACATAGCATTGATGTCCTTCCTTTCGGCGCTGAAGCTCAGCGTGAACTCTGACCTCCTGAACACGCTTCTCTATCTTCGTCTTCCCTCCCCATCCTTTCACTCCGTTTAGTCCATCCTGCCTGGTTTCTGAACAATTTAGTTTTTACAGTGTGATGTTGTTAGCCTCATGCACAATCCCCAACCTGTAGGACTAGGGTATCTCTCTTCGTGTGGCTCCTACCCCTTGACCTGTCAAGCACGGGTGACCCTACCAATAGCTACGCTACCGCCAGCATAGTTCTCACGGTCTCAGGAGTACTCAAACCCCACCGCCACGATAAGGTTGAGACACCGTCGGTGGGAATAACATTGATGCAATAAATAAAATATTCCCACAAAGATTTGGAGAACTGCTGNCTAAAGTTCGTACGGCCGGTCACGGTAGCCGAGCGGTCTAAGGTATGCATTCTCTTCGCTTGCTCGGAAGCCGGAATCGTGGGTTCCAATCCCACTCAGGGAATGGATGTTTGTGTGCGTTTTTTCTGTGTTTTTCTACAGGTAGAGGCCTTGCGACGAGCTGATCACTCGCCCAAGGAGTCCTACCGAATGTCTAAGATGTAGCAAACCGAAGTGAAACGAAGAGATTCATGGAGGTACGCAAAAGCAAAAATTGGGGGCTGTAACGCAAAAAAAGAAAAATAGTTCGAACGAACTGCACTGCTGTACTTAAGGGAGCTTTGGTAGCGACCTGGCTCCGTATAGTAATGACCCAGATGTTAAAATCTTAAGTAATCTATACACTCGCATTTGTATACGATACATGACGTCGATTAATCTGTTTACAGGTCTCTTTCATAGATGGCGTTACTGGTTAGTCCTACTTAAAATGTCGGGTTATTACCTAGATTAGGAAGTGACAATTTCCTTCCAAATTCTGTAAAATTCATCATTCATCTGTCATCCGACGCTACGTAGTATACGTCGTCAAATAACCCATAAAATTTTTTAAGGCTCGGGAGAATATCTGAATCTTCATCCTGACATTTCTACGAAAGACGTATTTGTATTTCAGCCCGTTTTCTTTCTCCCCCCAGATTTCAGCCCGGACGAAAACGCGGTAGGAATACTTGACACCTCTCCCTGGAACTCTGCATGAAAGGGAAGAAGCCCCGGGTAACATCTCTGACACCACTAGAGACCACACGGGCATGTGAGACAGGATCAACACTAACTCCATCCACCGGTGAGCTCTGAAATTACGTTTAGAAATAATATCACCATCACAATACTTTCCAATATTACAAACATCGGGTTCAACTAAGCTGTAACTTGAGGCTGCGCTATAGCTCAAGCGGTTACTCGTTGGCTTCCCATCGCGGCGGCCCGGGTTCGATCCCGGGTCTGGTAAAGTGGGATTTGTGGTGGACAAAGTGGCGCTGAGGCAGGTTTTCTCCGAGTACTTCGGTTTCCCCTGCCAATCTTCATTCCACCAATTGCTCCACAATCACCCTCACCTATCATCTGGGGCTGGTACAATAGGCCAGAAGTGGCCGCAGTTCAAGGGACTTAGTCCCACCGCACTAGCAATAAAAAAAGCTGTAACTTGGTAAACAGTGAAGTGCTTATTGAACATTACTCGCCAAAAAGTTATCATATGGTTTGTTTGAAAGAATGCAATGGTTCTTTAAAACAGCAATCTGTTAATGTAGCTGCCGTTACGTTAGTCAGTTCTTCAGCAAGAATAGACTGCTCTCACGGCTATCTATCAAGGTCTACCAGCAACTTCTGGACTATACTTTTATAGTCTTTACGAGTATGCAGAGAGCAAGTTCCCTCTTTAACCCGTTACACTGCTATGGATGTAAAAAATTGAACTGAAACTTATTATGTGGAAGAAAGTTTAAAATAATGTGCGCCTGATATGGAACAGAGCTACTGAGTAAAAAAGTGAATGACTGCAGTCATGTTGTCATTCGCTCACTCATGGAGCTGAGTCCTTCTTGAGAAGCTGCCAGTTGTGCAGCTACTTAAGAACTTTCCACCATTTTATGGAACTCTAATGTTGATTACAGTATTTATAAGAGCCCTGCATCGGTCCCTATCCTGAGTCAGATCAATCCAATCCATACTATCCCACCCTATCCCTTCGTACTGGTCTCTTTCCTTTGGGCTTTCCCACTAATATGCTTTCCTCTTCTCCACTACTTGTGCTATATGCTCTGCCAATCTCACCCTCCTTGACTTGATCATTCTAATTATACTTCGGGAAGAGTCCAAGTTATGAAGCTTCTGAATAATAATTATAATATATATATAT